TAAACTAATAAAATGATAAAATATATAATAAATATATAAAATATATAATAAAATTTAAGGAAAATTATAAGAAAAATATTAATAAAAATTCGTTAATATTACAATATAAACTTAGTCAGATACAAGAAAGTTCAGAAAATTTAGAAAAAAATACATCAAAAATTACTATTTTTGGTTAAAATACATCAAAAATATAATTTTTATATTACTTGCTATATAATTAAAGGTTTCTTTGCTATACTCTAGGCCAATAATACAGTCTACCCTTAAGTATAAATAAATTATATTTAAGCTATCCTTATAGATGTATAGTAGGCATGCTCAATACATTTTTCAAAAATAGGTAACAATTATTAGTATATTAATAGATGATTTGCCAGTCATCTGAAGAGCTATATGATGCAGGTTACATAAAATTTATATATAAATTATATATAAAATCTTTAAATAGTAAATGTAGAGATTTTTTAAAGAAATGTAAAGAAATCTTTTTTTCTTACTAAGTAAATTACTCTTGGGCTTATAATGAAAGTTGTAAAGCTCATCAAGATTCATCTAATAATGATAAGAATGTTAAACTCAGCCTGGTGATTCTTGAGAAATCTTTAAAAAACATTTTGCTAACATATAAAATTTCTTTAAAAAAAATCTAAAGAAATTTTATATGTCAGCAAAAAGTTTTTTAAAGATTTTTCAAGAACTACCAGGCCGATTTTAATGTTCTTACCACCATTAGATGCATCTTGATAAGCTCTAAAACTTTTATTATAAGCCCAAGAGCGATTTACTTAATAAGATAAAGGTTTTTCTTACATTTCTTTAAAAAATCTCTACATTTGGCTTAATAGTAAAATTTACTTATAAAATTTGCAAATCCTCTTCAGATGACAGATGAATTGTCTATTAAGCAAGCTTATTCATAATAACAAAATACAGTTTTAATAAATTTTTGATACAAAATTATTAATTAGCTTTTTTGTTAGATATTAAAGCAAAAAAATATATTTTTAGATATAAATAAAGTAAAAAATTTTTTAGTAAGGTTTAATTTATCATATTGCCAGAAATAATATCTAAAACTTTATTTAAAAGTTTTTATATATTTTCTATTATCATATAGCACTGCATATAGTATACCAAATACTATTTAAGAAAGCTGGCTTAGATAAATAATATCTTCAAATTTTAATGATAAGAGATAATACAAATAATTATTACTGGTCAAAATATATCTAGTTATTAGACTTATCAAACTAAATAAAATATTTGTACTTTTAATTATAATATTAAACCACAAATTACTTGTCAAAAAATGGGAGATACTATTTCAGAAGATACTATATGCAGCACTAAATGATAAAAATGCAAAGATTATTTATAGACAATTAAAATTTTTATTACCTTGTTTTAGAGAAAATTAGATATTTTTTTAACAAAAATAGTCAAAAAATTCTAACAAAGAATCTAATATGTAATCTCAAAGTTTACTTAGATATCTAAGATTATTAAAGCAATTAATAAGATACTTGTTTAAAAGATATTACTTTATAGTAATTTAGTTATTTTTTAACCAGCTTCTTAGCCTTTATATAAGTTTTATTAGTTATATAAGTCAAAAAATATTATTTTCTAACAGTTACATTTAACTAGAATATATTAGTCCTAGAAACAATAATTTTTGTATTTTACAAAATTCTGCAAAAATCATAAAAATACAGAAAGTACTGCAAATATACAGAATTCTTACAGAATACAAATTTTTCTTTAGTTTCATAACTTTGACTAATTAAAAATGTGAAAACAAAATCTTTAAATATTATTACAGAAAATGCACAAAAAAAGCAATTTTTAATATATGAAATTTTTGCAGAATTTGATTTTGTCATTGACTGAATTAGTAATTTATTACTGCAAAAAATCATCATCTCTAATTAGACGCATATAACTTTAATCATTATCTATTACTAGATATAGTTATTTACCACATGCTATATCTAAGATTTGCTTTTAGATTCTCTATTTAAACTCTCTAATTTAACTCTAATGCTGCTTAATCTAATCTTCTAAATCTAGAAAAACCAAATCATCTTAGGACTACTTTATCTGGCAATGTTGCTATAGCTACTTATATTTCACTTTATATATAACTTAAAGACAATTGTAGTCTTTTTTAATAATTTATACTAAGTCTGAAGACAAATACTTGTGAGCTATTATAGCCACTAATATTATCTACTTAGCTCTTATTTAAATACAATTACTTTTTAGAAAGACTACTTGATACCTACTACTTTTAATATCTTTAGCTAGTTTCTCTAAACAACTAATCCAAATAGACTAGAAGAGACACTAGTTCTTTGGTATTTGTATTGCAGATTCTTTTTCTTTGGTTAATACTCTGGCAGTTTAAACTTTTGCCAAATACTTAGTTCTGTTTAGTTGTGCTAACTTTGAGTATAACCTATTTTAGTAGCTTTGTCAAAGGTTTGTACTATTTCTCTACTTAAATTTTGCTATACAGGCATCTATTTTTTTAGTTTATAGTAATGTTTTACTAGCAAAATTTTTTATAAACTTAAAATATAATATTTATAATTTTTTTATTAATTGAATTAACTTTTATATATTAAACAAACTTGTTTGTAGCAAACCTTATATTATTATATATAATTTTGTTAAGCTTTTTATATTTAAACTTTAAAAAAATTATACAATTTGTAAAGAAAATACAGTTAAACCTCTATAGTCACATCTTCAGATTACAAAAAACTGTAATTATAAAGAGGTGTAATTTGGGACCTTCTCTTTCTCCTCCTATAACTAATGGTAGTTCAACTTAAATTAGTTTTTAAATAGAAAATTAAGAGATGATTTGCTACACTTAGGTGGTTATATAAGATATAATAGATAGTTTAAATTAATATTATCTTGATACAATCTGTAACTAACTTATCCTATATACAGCAAATTCAAAATAAAAAAAAAATAAAAATAAAGAGGTGTAATTAATATAGAAGTATTTTCTATATTGTTATAAATAATTAGTAAAAGTAAATTTGGAATTATATTAATTTTGTGTCTATAGAGAAGGTGATTATAAAGGGTTGACTGTACAAGTTAAATATAAACTTACCACTTTATAAACTATTTTTAAAATGCAGCAAACACCACACAATAATAAGCTGTTGAAACAAAATATACTACCAAATAAACTGGTCTATTATATATAAATTCAACTACAATAACAAACTACATACATAGTTTATATACACAAAGTTATTAATAGTAAAAGCTTCAAAATCAAAATCATATTAGATAAACTATCAATATTGCTAAACCAACATTACTAGTATACAAAAAGTACTCTAATTCAACTTGCAGCTGCTATACTAACACTATTGAAGACAATACTCACTGGTTAACCTATATAGCAAATTTAATATAATTACAGCAATTCATACAAAACACTATCACAAAGTATACCAATAAACATCAAACCCAAGGCATAAATCCTATAGCACTTTCTCAAATATTCTTTATAACAAACACCTAGATACCAAATATCCTGCTATTGCAAGGGCTAATTCCGAATAATATCTAGACATTAACTACTGTACCCAACAGGATATTTATAAAAATACTTCACAAAATATCATCTAATATCTATAAGCAAATATGAGTAAAACATTGTAAATCTATATGATCAAACAAGCAGCTACCCAACACCCACTATCAAAATCCCTAACCTCCCACCACCATATCCGTATAGCTAAATACAAAATGTGATTGAACATATTCCTTACTACAAAACATATCAACTCTATATATAGTTAAACTAACTCTAGTAAAGGCCAGATAGCCCACTTTAATAAAGCTTTTGGCTGAGGATAATTTAGTAGATCCCTGTAATAATATATGTAATCAATTTTTAATATAATACATAATGACCGAGGCTAGGCCTTACTCATTAAAAATAAAAAAATTAGTTTATTATGATTATTATTACAAACCATATTTATAAAGATTCATTATTCGATATTTAAATAATATGGGTTATCTGGGTGTGCTAACCGAATATCGAAATATTTGGATTATCCGGATGTACCAAACGAATATCCGAAATATTCGGATTGTCCGGATGTGCTAATCGAATATCCGAAATATTCGGATTATCCGAATACAAGCACTACCCTATACCTAAAAAGCTTAAGGAATTATTTGTAGAGATTCGATTTTGGGCCTTGTAATAAGGATCGTTAGTGGGTGTTGGGTAGCTGCTTGTTTGATCATATAGATTTACAATGTTTTACTCATATTTGCTTATAGATATT